AAGCAGTGGTATCAACGCAGAGTACTGTTCATTGCTGCAAATACGTCTTTGTAAAAAGCCTGACAGCTTCTGTGCATGACTAGTCACCATGCAAGCAAGGTGTCAGCTTCCAACCGAAAATTTTCGCGCTTTAGAAATCGAGTTTTGGGTCTCAGAAGCGTGCTTACACCTCGGTAAGATGAGGCTTGTTTATCAATATCAGCGACTACGCTATGTTGACTCCTGCGCTTTTCACCATACTCATTGCAAAGGCTCAGCAAAGCCTAGAACCTTCATTCGAGTCAAACAAATGCTTGAGAATTCGGTGAAAAGGCAGTTTTTCGAACATTATACCTTTTTATACATTTTGGAGCAAGAAATGCAGGATGAATCCTCTTTTTAAGAAGGCGACTGCTTCCAATTGTGATAAATGTTTTAGATTTTGATGTTGTATATGTACAAAAAAATTCAAGCTCAAAAAACGTATTACTAATTAGAAATGAGAGGTGGCTTTATAGCTGTGGCCAGCTTTGAAAACCACTTTTTTCAAATTTTTCAGTTTTTCTCCGGCCAAAACCAATTAAATAGGGAGCCGTCCTGGTTAATGATATGACGTTAGTTTGCACACTGAATAGTGGTTTTTTCAGACAATTTCGAACAAGAGAGAGCAATTTACAGTGATTTTTGAGGTGGCTTTACAGCTATGACCAGCACTGTAGTTACTGAAAGTACAGCCATCAAAAGCAAAAATGGGAGAAACAGGATTTTGGCTGACTTCTAATTGACTTCTAATTCCACAGTTTGGAGGTCTTTTGAAGCGGGATTCTGAATGGAAAACAAGGATTAGTGCTATATATTGGTGCCACAGAGGTATCTATACCTTTAAAGCAAAGTTTATTGCGTTTGAAAATGACCATTCACTCTGGTGGAACAGTATTTAGGAACTTCATAATTCGCTCAAACTTGGTCCACAGTGGTTTTTTGACATGCTAGCTGTGCAGATATCACTTCCTATGTTTGGTAGGGCCTTCACGTTATGCCTATTTTATATATACAGTAATCCAGGGAGTCTATTTGAGACAGCAGTTAGAGAGGGGGGTCGTATACAGCGATCGTGTGCCACACCTCTTGCTTGACCCTGGTCATAATGAAGAGCTGATTTTCAAAATTCTTCATGCCATCGAAAAAAGCCATTTTGATGGTATGAAAACGCTGCGAACTTTCAAAATGACCCATTGATTAGCAGAAAAAAGGGAAAATTATTTCATCTTTTGAATATGTTAGAATGGACAGGACCAAAAGTCCTGATTGCTAGAACTTTTTCGTTTAAAACATTATTTGATGCTTATTACCTCAATAATTTCTTAATGCCAATGCCAAAGAAGCTCGTATTAACCTAATTTAGTTAAGGCTGTGAGAGTGAAGCAAATGAATCTTTGCTAGATTGGATATTCAAAAAAAAAAACGAAACGAGTAATCATGAACCTCTTTTAGTAACTGGCATGCAAATGCGACCTGCGCCACAACTCATAAACTTTTCATAATACGAGAATTCTCATAGTTGACAAGTTGCTATTAGTGCCTACAAATTCGTGGTTATTTCAAGCAATGTCAGAGTGTCCTACGAAAGTTTGTTTTTCTCAGTGTAGATAGGTGGGGATGCCCTTATTGCAAATCACTTGATGTTTAAGATGAACGATGATCCCATGCAAAATCAATGAAACGCTTGTAAGCGTCAAGTCAGGTAACTGGGAGCGTAAACCTTCTGCACAATCAAAGACGCCTTTTCTTGATTTTCATCTTTTCGGGTTGCTGAACTCCGACCTTAATTAGATACGTCTTTTCTTGGATAACAAGTGCATTTGCTTATTGCTCATTCGGACGAACTCGTCGTTGATCTCCCATGTACTCGATACTGTCAAACTGAATCACATACTGACCTTGTGGGCGTACTAATCTAATACGAATCAACCTCGCAGAAATGGCTTCTTATTTGCTTGAGCTATTCTTGTGCTACTTTATTACTCCCTCTGCTCTCATATATGCCACGATCGCTCCATCAAAATCTAAATTTTCAACGCCTGCAAGCTCGAGCAAGTCATGCTCAGAAAATTTTATGTCAGAGTAAGGATTTATCAACATATCGCTCCAGTAAGATTCGACCATTTACTCAGCATCGAACACTCCACCGTTTGGAATAACACATACAAATGGATTGTGATCACTGGAAGCTCTAAAATTTTCGAAACTGCTATGAAGGTAATCTTGTCGAAATGGATGGTTTGTGCAATCAACCTTGTTTTTCTCGAAACCATCAAAATCAAAAAATAGATTTGGAACTGCTGTTTAAAATTCGGAAAGTGTAACCAACGCTGTTCTATCATTCAAAAAAATCTCCGTTTCCCCTTCCCCACGAAAACATTGGGACTACCAGTGGTGAATTGCTATTGGAAAGAACGATATTTCAGAGTTCACTAACGATGCAAGAATGGAACTTTGCGTTCGTCGATGCTGAAGTGAACAAAGGAAATGGAAGTCTGGTCAATGTTCATCATATCACATCGCAGCGTAAAAAATTCGGAGAATTGCGAGCAAGTTGGTTGCAGCCCGAGTATCAGTTGAAAGCAGCTTTTCTGTTCTTAAGAACAATTGTTGTTGTTGTTGTTGTTGAACGATTGTTCTCGAACAATTGTTCAGCAAATGTTCGAGCTTTTATTGGAATCATTTGCATGTTTACGGTCTATCGAGTTTTTAGCCAGAATCGACGGTTACATTTATGCTATTAGAAATGGAGCAAAACACATATACGAAGGCGACTTCAGCGGCAACGATGGTATGCTCAAGAGTCTTTAACAATAAGCCGCACGGGACTGTTAAGGTGGTCAACAACTTGCTAATTTTGACTTTGCTGAGAAAAGTAGTGGACTTATATACTCAG